CATACCACAGAATATCAGCTAAGGGTGATGGTAACTCTGTGACCAGTACACAAAATATTACATCAACTCATTATTTATTTAGTTGTATTTGTGAAATAAATTCTTTTAAGATCAAATGTAAAAATGTACCCTTAAGATCTGGCTCCCCTCTCTCATCTGGCTGCCCTGCTTCATTACGTTCCAGTCTCCCATGCCTCTTTTGTATCCTTGGATCTTTCCAGACTCATCCGCACTCCTCTTGTAATGAAGTACTAGTTGATTCTGTCTGCAATGTTCTTCCACAGTTCCTCGTCTTCTTACAGTGGGCTTCCCCTAGCTTTCTCCACCCTTTTCCTGTTTTATTTCCTCACAACAGTGTCACTACTGGAGATCCTTCTGTGTCCCTGCTCACATATGCAATTTCTATTAGCCAGAAGGAGGCTTTTGAGACCAGAGATCCTGCCACTCTTCTCTGTGTTTCATTTTTAACCTAGGCTGACTATGGGAGTTGGAACAAGTACGGGTTGAACAACCAGGCAGACATACTCATGTGTCTGAATCAGTGTATGGAGTCATAACTGAGAAATGAAAAATGTAGGCTACTGGTCAAATGTACATGTCAGGCACAATGGGTAAGCATGTTGAAGGTCAGGAGCCCACGGTCAAGGTAGGGCATGGACCTCAGAACCTGGATGACACTAAACACACGTCACTATGGTTTTGTACATGCCCACTAAGCAGGAAACCAGAACATGGATTTTGCTCTAAGAGCACAGAAAACCCATATAGCATATATCTTCTGATTTTTAAATGTTCACAGAGTTAAATCAAGGCAGAGAATCTGTGGACCAAACTGCTGAGGAGAAAATGTGGCACAAGTTCTGCTCACACTCCTGGAGTTGCATATAGGGAAGTGTGTGTGTGTGTGTGTGTGTGTGTGTGTGTGTGTGTATGCGTGTGAATTACTTATCCAAGGACTCACTATGAGATAGGATTCCTGCAAGATAATGAAAGCTGTCCACTGTGTTAGCAGCAAGTCACCCAGCATGCCAAAGGGCACCATGCACTTGTCATTTGGGTAGATCTGTGAAGAAAGGCTGGCATTTTTGGCAATGACAGCAGCCCAAAAGGAAAACACAAGTGCAATGGCCCATTTAAGGTAGCTGTAAATCACTCTGATTATGAGCCACTAGCATGCAATCGCTGGCACACAGAGCCTCCTGACTAATAGCCATGAGCAGTTTGCCTTTGCTATCTAAGTGTCACAGACTGAACACACTCTTGCCTGACCTCGACTCAGCATTAATACCTGAATCACAGCCTGGGGGAGCTTGATATTCCACTGCTAGAAAGAAGATAAACAGCAACAATACAAAGATGCAGGCCTTTTAGTGTTGCTAGTTAAACCGAATGCATTTAATCTTTCTTCAGCATCTAAAATGTCCATCATTATCTCTCGGTGGGATGAAATATACTCCAACACTGTTGCACAAAGCCAGTTTCCAGAACTTGTTTCCATATACCAAACTGGAAACAATAAAAAGGCAAAACAAAACTTGGTTACATTTGGTAGCACAGGACACAAACCACTAGGTTGCCAGAGGGCATGCTGTTTATGGTTACTCAGCCAGGTAAAACCCCATGATCACTGAGTATAGCATACTCTGATGGGGCTGAAATACAAAACTCATTTTTGTTACATACAATATGTATGGTGTTTTCTGGAAACAAATGGCATGCTTATTAATATTACGGCACGATGCATTATAGTTATTATATGTGGAAATTATTCACATCAAATTGTTTCTAATGACCTTGTTACACTTATTTATAGATTGTGTGTATGTGTAGGAGGTGAGTATGTCATGGTCCATGTGTGAAGGTCAGAGGGCAACTTTATGGAGACTGTTAATCCTTCTACCTTGTGGGACTCAGAGCTTAGGTTGCCCAGTGGTGGCAATGCACCTGTTGACCATCTTACAGATCCCAAGCCATCCTACCACACTGGTTCCTTCTGTCCTTGGTCTCAAACAAGCAATTAAATCCTAATATCTTACAAGAAAGAATGGACAAGCTTATTGGACAATGTCTACTTAACAACCACTTCCCTCAGTAGAGCTATAAAATCATCATTTGAGGATGAAAACGAAAGAGATATGAGGAAAGGTCTTGAGGGAGAATCAACCCTTGTCTACATTTCAAAGCTAACACCAGATGCTCACCATGCACAAGTCTTACCCAAACATTGTATTTTGTGCTCATAACTCTTCACAGCTCTCCTAAAAATAAGGATACATGTAAACCCATTATGTGGCTAAAGAAAGGAGGACTAAAAGAAACTTAGGTGTTTGTCCCGACCTATAATATGCTGGGAAATTAGACTCAAATCCAAGTAGATACCTTCAAGAGACCTACGCTAATATTCCTACACACTACAGAGTTCTAATTTTGAGACTAAACAAAAGTCTTGGAGATGGCGCCACAATCCCTATCTGTTTTCTATGGGAGGGATAGTGACATCATTAACCTTGCACTTGTTTGCTCTAGTCTATTAACACATCTTATAGCAGAACAAAGCCTACAACCTTTCATTGTATTTAATTCAACTTGGAGCAGACATGTTGCCTACAATTCCTTTTAAGCAAGCATCTCCTGACTGCTGAATGGAACAGAGCTTCAAGCCATGGCTGGAGTTCCCTCACCAGATTCTTTGGGACTTGAAAACAGGGCCAGACTTGTGATATTCTCAGTTCATACCCTCCCAACCTCACCCCCTCCCCAAATATAGGCCACTTCTACTAAAATGAAAAGCATAAAAGCAAAACTAAGGGAGTTGATCTGGGGATAGTATGGGCAATAGGGAGGCTCAAACTGAGAGACCTCCCTTAGCACAGGCAGTTCCTCAGCCTGCCTTTGCTCCATTTCCTTTACTGGAAGGGCAAAGGTGGGGACCCAGGGAAGAGGCATTGGTGCAGCGTACAATTATTATTTTAATCGACATTGTGCTGTGTTAATGAGTGCCAAGCATGTGCCAGATGGTGTTGAAAACAAAGCCTTCCCTGCAATCCCGCCCAGTGGGATCACCACCTCTCCTCTCTGTGAAAGCGATCGCAAAAGTGGTAATGAGCTAACTCCGATGCAACCGAACTTCTAATCCCCCGACACCTTCTGATTGGGCATTGCACCAAGATTTGGCATAGAAAAGGCACCTGGAGTGCTGTCGGATGATCTCTTCAGGGATAATGGACCAGGGAACTGAGCCTGTAATGATTTCATATCAGTTTGTTCAAGTTCAGTTGCTATTAATTGGGTTCAAGTTCAGCTCCAGTTCACACAATCTAAATAAATAGCTGTTGCAACCAGCTTAGAGGCTGGCACAGTATGTATCTTTGTAGCTAACAAGAAGCTAGCGAAAGAGAAAGATGTTGAAAAATGCCTTGCATAAATGTCTGGTACACAGCCTGCCCATTCGCCTTGTGCAGTGTGTGTGTGTGTGGGGGGTTTGGGTGGGGACTGGGGTTGGTAAACAGAACCCTGGTTTCTTACAACTGTGCATAGTATATTGCTTAATGAACGATCATATTCTCAAGAATGGCGCTTTGAAACAGGTTACAGAGTAAGACATGCATATGATTTAACAGGGCAGCTTCAGGCACAATGCTGACTTGAAGTTAGCCCAGAGTGGAATCCTGATTTTACAGTCTCCATCCACCTTGGAAACTGTAAGAAGCTAATTCTATTGTAATCTAATTAAAATCTGAAAAAGAAATATTTTAGACAAATTCATTGCTAAACAGTAAAAGAGCAATATTGCAAAAAATGTATTAAAAGGGGACATTGCATATTTTATTGTAAAAAAATCAATCTAAAATCTATTTTGACTAGCTCACTAAAATTCACTCTAGGTTGGTTTAGCTATAATGAAATTAAAATACATTTCTAAAGATTATCTTCAGGAAATTTTGAATGAAGACATTTTCTAGTTCAATGCCATGTGGAAAATTCTAAGTTGTTAGAATTGAGTCACAGAAGCCATGTAGTTGGTTTGAGAAGGCATTAGCAAGGTGTGTGCAAAGTAATGTATAGAAGGCAGCATGAACAGGTAATGTTAGACAGTAAAATTAATATATATTAACTTTCGTAATGTTACAGTTTTACATTTAAAATATAACTGCTTTGAATAGAATATATGTTACCCATAGTTATTTTTATCATTTGTACTTAGTTAAGTCAGAAGAATGAAATTAGCGGATGAGTAAAAGGAACACATTTTCTAAATAAATAAATTACAAATCATTTGTTTGAAAAATATACTTTTTGAAGACTTGGATTTCCTTTTCTGTTTTAGGTTTCTGAAACAGTGGCAATGTCTAGGTATGGTGTGCTTACAATGAAGGCACATGCTACGGTAAATCACAGAAAAATAAGGAAAATTCATGTTGCAGAATCAAAGAGACTGTGGTTCTTTCGAGTTTTGTATTTACTTGGACAACTAGGGCAGGTTCTTAAATATCAAAGCCTCAGTTTCTTCTCATTTTAAAACAGAAATTAAAGAGAAAGACAGGGTCACTGAAAAGTAGGCAAGAAATTGTACCCAAGGTATCCAGGACGATGTGTTCAACATAATATCTGCTCAATGAACAGTGCCCTCTCCTACTTGCCAAACAGCAATCCCCTCTGGTCTGCTTTACTAAGTGACCTCTCCCAGTAGTAGTCTGACCAGCTGCTGAGATGTGAAAATTTAGAATGTGAGCCACAAAAGTCTGCGGATGCAGAGCATGACCAGATGCAGGAAAATGCCACAATAAATAACATGCTTACAGCCTACAATAAACTAAATCACCTATAGACCTGCCTAGATAATTTATTCTCCATTTCAGCTGTTCACGCTCCACTCTTCAAGGGAGATATAAAGCTGATGTTCTGGTGGTGGTGTGACTGTTTTTTTTTTTTTCCACAACCATAGGCAACTGTACTTCTCCGGACTTTCCTCTTGTAGCCCTGGCTATACAGACACTTGAAACTGCTCACATTTGCTTCCTTTGTGACGCTAGGTTTAGCAACTGGAGGTAATGTATAAGTAAACGGCGTGTTTTCGCTGCCCGAGGATGCCTCTCATCCCCTATCACCTTCCCCTGAACTCTGCCACCCTTTCAGTGGAGGTGCTCCAAGGCAAGGCCGCTGAGGGATTTCTTCCTGGTCAAATTTCCAGTTCAAGTGGTTATGGATCTCTGAAGGGATGGCCTCCAGGGGACCTCGCTTCAGACTGACGGCTCCCACCTGTTTACCATTAGGCTGTCCATATTAACCTTTGCCTTGTTTGCCTGACTTTGCCCATCTCTGATTTCAGGCTGAGAGTTACAGGACAGAAGTGGAATACAATGTTGCAGAAGGCTAACCCCAAGGGCAGCTCCAGAGTGAAGTTCCTAAGTGAAGTGTCTCACCCTGCGATCCCAGGCCTTTAACTTGGGAGGAGAAATGGCAACAGAAGTCAACATATTCTGCTAATGTTGACAACACAAAGAAAAGAGTTCCAAGACAAATCTATATGTGACAAACTTCCATGCGTAAGAACATAGACTACAAGAAATATGGTAAACGTCTCTAATTTTCAGTATTCACTTACCTAGAAACAAACTGAATTTTAATTTAAAAATATAAAATTACTTATTTCCCTTTTGTGCTAGTGAATTCATGAGAATGGTGGTGTTTTGTTCAAAGTGCCAGTGAGAATTTGTCTTCATTTATGAACTTCTATATGAAATTAATTATTTCCCTTTTTGTACTAGTGAATTCATGAGAATGGTGGTGTTTTCATTCAAGATGCCAATGAGAACCTGTCTTCATTTATGAAATTCTAAGAGGAATTTAGGAACAGAAGAACTCTTTAATTTAATTCAACAAATGTTCACTGTGCACTGCTTCTATTTCTGGTTTTATAGGTAACATTAAGTAATATAAACCCATTTCTTCCCCTTAAGGAACACACTGGGATACTTGAAACCACACATAAAACAATGCAAGCAATCTAAGATAATTTTAGCACCAGGTACCAGGCTGAGTAATGCAAATCTCCTAAATGCTATGGAAGAGGGAAGGGGATTGTGCCAGCTCTGCAGCTCTAAGCCGGTGAACCTGAAGCCACCTATCCTTAAGAGCACGATCTAGATAAATAGAAAACGGAAGCCATTGAAAATAAAGTGAACTAGACAATCACGGGCAGCGGCAGAAAAGTCCATGGTCTATAGAGCTGGGAATGGGTCGGTGATGAGCAAGGTTTTGACGAACAGTCTGATTAGAGGGAAGCAGCAGCTATGTGTTTGGAGATCTGGGTGCAGGGTATGAGTCATCTGCAGCCACACCCTGACTTTCCATTGAACACCACTGAGTTTAACACCTTAAAGCTTGGGGCGTGGCTAGGATACAGACAATGGGTCAACTTCTGAGACTTATCCTGTCTGCTAAGACCTATTCTCTTGATGAGGTTCCTAACTAACACTGACTGTTACATATCTATCTGGGATCCTTCTCATTCTCTTCTGCAACTTTCCCTAGTGTCTGTTGTGTTGCTTGACTAGTTTCTTTCAAGAATCATTCATGCTATCCTGAGTTAAAAAGTAATACCACCAGATCTGCTAGAATAGTAAAGAGAATTAAGAAAGATGGCAGCAGTGGTTATAGAGCACTTGCTGCTCCTCTAGGGGACCCAGGTCAATTCCTAGCACCCACATGGTAATCAACAACTGTTAATAACTCCAGATTCATGGCACCAGGAATTCACTTGGTGCATGCATGAAAAATACCAATACATACAACAAATGGGTAAGTGGTAAAATCTTACGTTAAGTAAGATAGTCAGAAAGGATTATGTATTATATGAGTTTATTTGAATGTCATGTCCAGGACAGACAAATGTATAGAGTCTGAAGGTAGATCAACAGTTGTTCACAGCAAGATAGGGATTTAGGAAACTAAAAAAATGTTGCTAAGATGCACAGCATTTTTGTTATTGTTAAAAAGTTTTAGAGTTGGTAGTAGTGGTCATTTTGTAAATCTCAAGATATATTAAAACCCACTGAGCGGTATATTTCAAAGAAGGAATTATATGTTGAGAAGCATATCTCATTAAGCTGTTTAGTAATATGGAAGCAGTCATTCTGATGATTTTGGAGTACAAATCACCTTTATTACATGAATAACAAGTGCCCAGCTGAAGTTGCTGCAGGTGAGAGCTTGTAACGAAAATGGCTTGAACAGTACAACTCAGTGACCAGGCAATATGACAGAAGAATAAATGAAACAGGACAAAGTAATATTTATTGACACTTGATTAACCAGCATAGGTGTTAGCTACAGACTGAAGAAAATGTTTTGTCTTCACCTGAAGCTCTGAATTTGTGCCTTAGTCATACACTTAGTAGGTCCCTCACATCTGTCCTTCCTCCCAGGTGTAGTGATTACATTTCACACTGGATGCTCATTAGAAAGAATGGCAGTATGGGTAAAACTGGTAAATTTCTGTGTTCAAACACCTCACACCTGTTTATAACTCCATCCAGGGACACCTTCAACTTTAAGGCTCAAAGGAATCCAGAGACTCTTGTTTACATTAGGTACTGATTGCAGTGCCCAGCAACAGCTTATGTTCAGTCAACACTGGAAGAAAAAAACACCTGACCACTAAACTTAATCTTCGAGTATTATTAAAATGCATAGATTTCCAAACAAGAGAACTGGCTGCTTATCTCTACTGGGAAATATCACTCCTGTCTATATACTATCTTCTTTGTAAATTACACTTATCTGGTTTCTCTTGGCAGCTCTCCTTTAACCTCACTGTTTATGTCAATGGCCATATCTTTCTGCTAGTTCCTCAGCGAGGAGGCCTGGATTAGGATAACATGCCAGAGGCCCAGACTGCTTCATTTAGACTACCAAAAACTTAAGAGATAATTAAAAGATTACCAAACCACCAACTTGAATGAAAGCAGAAAAGGAAGACTTGATAAATTAAAGAGTCTGTGTTATATTCACTGAGCAAAGCCAGGCAAAATACTAGTGTCAGTCAAAAGAGAATGATCCAGTTGAGGGCAAGGGCTCTTGGAAGCTGAACATAGTTCAAGCACATGAAACTTGAGTAGGATGACCTCACAATTAAATATCACTCAGTGCTACTCTCAAAAAACTAAAAATAAAAGAGCCACCATAATGGATAAGTTCTGCTTTCTATTCAAAGAGCCTTGACCAAGAAAGTGCCAGATGGGCAAACCAGCTTGCAAAATAGTCATTACAAAATGGGGATTTCCCAAGAAAGGGTTGGGATTGAACTGAACTTTAGGAATGTGGTGCTGTCTGCCATGGAATGGTTCTAGCTTTCCTAAGCATTTGTACCCTGCCATCACAAAGCTGTCACTAAATACACCTTTATATATTTTGCAGACATATTGTCAGTCCTCAGACCTCAGTAAATATAGACATGATTGTCTACTTCACACAGGAGGGATCTGAGACACAAGATAGACTTGGAGTTTTGCAAACGCTCAAATGTCACGTGGAGTGAGGCCTGACAGAGACCCCAGGTCTGTTAAACCCCATCACCCATTCTGTTCCTTCTTCCTCCCCACCAGGGCTTCTAGATGCAGCCTCCCTGAAAAGGGGGGAGTTGGGAGATGGTGTAAGAAGGGAGAGGCAGAACTCACAGATTATCTGCACAGCTCTATGGGGGTGATGATGAGGTGGGGAGTTTTGTTCCTAAACACCTAATCAAGGATATTTAGATAGGAAAAAAACCTTCAGTAGATAGAGCAATTCATCAAGCTGCCCAAGCTTAATGAAAATATCCCTTATGAATAATCAATTGCTTTTGTTTAATTCTCTTTGCAACGAGTAACCTTGGACCCTAGAAACTGGCTTCCTGAGTAGACTATCCTAGCAAGCTGCTTCCAAGTATAGTTCCTGAAGCTGATATTTTCCCCACAATTGCTTTTCATGAATTTTGACCTTGGAGCCTCTTCACCTTTGAAGAAATTAATAAAGTTTGATGCTTGGTCTCTAAAAACAGGGAAGCCCTTTTATTTAGAATATCAGATGATCAAAGGGTTTTCATACCCCATACTTATCCTACAATAAGGTTCATATCTCTTGAAAGGGTGCTCACCAGTATCTATGAGCACCAACCTAGGATCAGTTTTTGAAGCAAGACAGTCTAGTCAGCGTATGATTTATGAGAAGTCCAGTGTAATAAATACTGCTTCATAGTCTCTTCATATCCTGACAACAAACCAGTGTCTAACTTATTTTCCCAATCTGGATTCTCTTATCAGAAAGTCAAGAGAGACCTGGAATCAAATAATCTGTGCCACACTTAAGAGAATGTGTACAACTCGGAGCAAGCACTTTTAACGTTACTACACTTTGATCTCCTCCACTAATTATAATTATTGTGAGCTATGAGCTATGAAGATAAAAATTCATACAAAGTTCTTCACAGAGTAGGTAAGGTGTTTCAGAAATTGGCTACACTACAGTTAGTTGTGATTTACTCTTTACATGCTTTCATGGCCCCCAGTCATTCTTAACATTGGATGTAGTCTCCATAGTATGGCCTCTATAGGGTGACGTGAAATATTTTCAGGTTGACTTTAGAATTCAATCTAGGTTGATATGGACTCCCTATGTATGACCACAGCTTTCTTATATATCAGAAGCTTTTGGCCAGATCTTGATATAGGATTATTTGAATCATTTCTTCTTTATTTACTACTTTCTGTAACTCATCAGAATTTCTGCAAACTTCATAAATTATTTTAGTGCCTCTCCAGTATCTAGTAAGCTCTTGTTTCTCCAGACTCCTACAGTGACTCCAGGAATAACTTGGAAGTCAGCAATACATATTTTGTTGCATTGTTCATATATCTCATTTTCTCACCTACAAGATGTGAGCTATTCAAGAACACAGTCTGACCTTGCAAGAAAGTAGACTAAGAGGAAAGTCCGGAGTCCAGCTGTACATGAAGCATATTCTGCACACCAGAGTGTACAATGGTGATGTTCAAAAAGCCAGAGAGAGACAGCCAAGAAGTCAGCAGCACCTTGGAGAACATTATAGAAGCTCTGGAGTCCTGAGTAGGATAATGAGATTCTCATTCCCATGAAAACCAGAAGTACATCATTTTCATTTGCTTTATTTTAAAATTTCCTCGTCAAGAAATGACCTGATGCTCAGATTCATAAATAACGTACAGTTGGAGCATATATTTTGATTGTCTACTTTAAAAAATAATTTAAATTCTATTGTGGAGGACAGTGCATTCAGAAATAAAAGAAAAGAGTGTTATATGAGTGCTAATGACACAGTGCTGGCTTGGCCTAGGCAAGGAGAATTTTATTTTAGACATTGAAACCAATGTTTTCAAAATTTCATTTCCAGAAAAATGAACATATATGTGATTGTTTGAAGCAGACAACTTGAGTGGACAAGAGAAACACTCTCAGTAAGAAGGCAAAGCTGTGAAGATTGTCAAGCAATTTTGGATAGAAGAGCTCACCTTCAGGAAAGAGCTCTGTCTCTTTCTTTGTATTTCATAGTTTCCTGACAGCCTTGTGGCAGGCAGCATGCTTGATGCTGGGCATGTAGAGTCAAATAGTAACAGTCATTCTAGAGAAAACAACACATCCCACTTGCACCAAGAAGTCAAGCAGACAGAAGTCATTCTCATAGTAGAGTTCAAACGTATGGCTAAAAAGAACAAAGGAGACACCAATAGCCTTAGGGAATCCTCCAGTTCATTCATTCACTGACTTATTCAACTTTAACCATTCACTTCTTCCTCAAGTATTAGTCAACAGCTACTCATTGTGAAGCTCAACAGATTACACCAAGATGGATAAGACACAAGCCGACACACCCAGTCTATATCTTGCCAAGGAACTTGACAAGTAAATATGACAGTACACTATGAGATACTAAAAATGTTTGCACAGTGAACACAGACATGTTCACAAGACACAGAAAAAGGAATCATTGCAGCTTTCAGGACAGCCCTATGACAGTGACATTGCTTCTGTTTGAAAGGTACTCTACTTGTTGGTCCTTTGAAGAGAGATCTTCCCCAGCTTCATTTGGTGTCCTCAATCCTTTTGCCTCTGCAGCACTTATCTAAGCTTGTAGCCATGCCTGTTGAGTTCTATGTCTCCATCAATGCACGAGCTGCATGAGCAATGGCGTTGCATCTCCCTGATGTATCCTATGTTCCTAGCACATCACAGGCCTCAGAAATATTCAACACATATCTGATGAACAGGTGATTTTAACAAAAGGAAAACACAACATCGTTCCAATTGTGGGTAGGATGGTATATTTGCCAAAGCCTTAAAGTATATGCTAACAAATGGTGTTACCCAGGACCATATGTCCTCAGGCCATGCACTGGGTGACTCTGGTTGGAAAGGAGATCTCACTTTCTTTGCTGCAGCCACCCCTTCATGCTCTGTCCCTGAGAACCACAGATAAGAAGGACGTTCTATCCTGTGGACTTCAATAACTGCCTGTGTGACAGTCAGACACCAGAACCACAAACACAGAATGACAGAAATTGACTTGTACCTGTAGAGAAATCACAGTGGCTGTGTGGTAAGTTGAAAGTCAGGAAATGTCTGGAGTAAGTCTTATTTGAAAAAGACACCAGGTATCATCAATGGAATGAAAATAGAACTATTTTTATTTTTATTTTATGACATAGTCTGCATCTTAGTTTGGCTTTATTTAAAGCCGTGGCAGGTCAGTAAGAGTATCTGAAGAATGTCCTGAACCCTTCCCAAATTTCAGGGTGGAAGTTGATTAGAAGGACACTTGTAATCACCGAGTCTGCAGCTGGCTGTCAGGAAGGGTAATTTGGAGACACAGAAAAGGACTGAGAGAGAAAGTGACAGATGAAATGCTCCTCGGCCTGCAGGCTTCACAGTAGGGTGACATGGTTCACAAAGTGTCTAAATCGTCCACCGCTTACTTCCATGACTGTAGGTCCATGACTCTGACAGTACAGGTCATGTCTCTTCCCACCGCCCCACAGGAGCTCTGCCCCATGGCCCAGTGGTGCCCCAGCACTTGCTCATTTAAAATGATTTTTGTTCTTTGATGCTGAACACAGACAGATACCAAGCCACAGAACTGTCAATCACTTCGCAAGAAACAGTCATTTTTTTCCCTCTCTCATCCCAGTCTTTCAGCAAGATTGGATTAGATTTATTACTTTTTTTTACTCTCCCATTCCCACTCAGAGATAGGCAGGCAAGCTCAGATCATTTCTTAAGGTGAGTTTTACTATATCTGTGGGGGGAATCCCCACCTGCATTGCAACTTAGCTCTCCTGAGAGTAGGTTGGGGGTGTTACTAGCATCTATTGGATAGAAATAGCTATGGTTTCGATAAGAAACATGCCCTCATAAACCCATGTATTGGGACACATGGTCTCCAGTTGGTTGCACTAGGAGGTTCTGTGACCCTCACTAAAGGACCTAAGTTATGAGAGGCAAGCCTTTGAGGGTTACTATCCACCTCCAGTTCTGGTCTTCTCTCTGTTTTCTGGTTAGCCACGGCCAGGTGATCAGCTACCACGACTGTGTGGCTAAGCCACTGTTGTCAGCATGGTTTTTAAGGCAGTCTTTGTTGTGAGCGGTACATTAAAGAACGGTCTAAGATAACCTCAAATCCCTAGAGCTGACTCTAGACTGTGTACTCCTGACCATTTGCACCTCTTTTTAATCTAAGGGCACATTCAAAGGCCACCCACACCAAAGCAGTCTCAGAGAGCAAAGTCGATTCTATGCTCTTCTCAAATCTTTGGGCAGGATAAGTTGATTGCCCCATTAACATTCTTCATTCTTCCTCCCAAATAAATGGTGGGAGAAGCACTGTCAAGGTGTGTACTGAGGTTGCACAAGCAGAGAAGGATGGGAACATACTAAGTGGTAAGCACAAGAATCTAAACCTGTTGCTAAGACTGAGATATAAGTAGATGAAACCTTCCAAAACATAAAAAGAGAAAACAACAGCAGACAAATTATATGGACAAAATGTTAGAGAGATGACATTGAGGTGTCCATGGCATTTCTTGCTTTCTTTTTCTTTTTCTTAACCAGAAAATTGGGTTAATGCTAGGCTAGAGTTTGGAGGCCACCAAAGCTCTAGAGATGCAGCAAAGCCTGGAAGTCAGGAAAAATGGGTGACTCAGAAGACCCAGGTGGTAGGGCTGGCTGCGGGATCCATACAAAACTTGTAAGATGGCCAGGTGGATGTCACTGCATTTCCCTCCAGTAGTCTGTATGCTCCTGAGACTGTCCCCCAACCCTTCTCTCAAGACAAATCTCAGCTACACTCAATGTGTAGTCTGTCAGGCCCAATAGATCTAATGGCAGGGCATGAATAATGGCAGAGGCTGAGCAGCAAGCACTGCACTAGGTAACTGAAAGAGCCTAGTAAATGTCTGAGTGCTAAATGATGCAACCTCCTCCTCCTCTCTCAAGCTGGGATCCCAGTGTTTTAATACACATTCTTAATACTTCAGGCTCGTAGATTCAAGGAATAGTTCTCTGTGGAAGTTAATTACAAACAAACAAACAATTCATCACCACCTGCTTCTAACACTATGTTCTTCATAATTAACACCTCCAGGATTCATAGTATGTAGTTATCTTCTACACAGGGTCAGGATTGAGATGTATGGTAAATAACCTATGTCACCTCTGATATTAAGCCATGGGCTGCATTTCTGTTTTTGTAACATGCTTAGTTTCTTTCCTGTCCTGTTCTGGTAAACTTAGCTGTCAGGTAGCTTGTAGCAGCCCTATAAACATACCCTAGTGATGATGAACTCAAGTCCTACAACATTTATTTTGGTTTTGAATTTGAAACACTGGCTTAGTCTTGAAATGCATCCAGCCCAATGCTTGGCCAGACTCTTGAGAAATGTTATGCCATTCCTCAAGATAACCTCACATTGCTGATACCAGGAAACTGTAAAGGTTTACCCTTTCAATATGTAAAGTTTTGAGTAATTTGTAGATAACTACAAGTGGCTTACAGAAAACAAATTTGTGTGTGGGTTGAAGGGCTCAAACTGAAATAAAACCAAAGAGGATGCCCCTACATCATCATACCAAACTTCATACGTAAGATACCTGAAATCAACAGTTTAAAAGGAATCTTTCTGAGATATGAATGGACTGAAAAGGATAACGGGCACTTGAGGCAAACTTCTAAAATAAAAGCAGAAAGGACTCAGAAGAAGGATCCAGAAGTCACATATATAATATGAAAAGAATATATGACACTATTGAATTACAAGAGCCATAGCATGCAATTCTGTGCATAACCACATTGAAATTGCATAAAGTTGATAATATTCATACTCTGGCTTTTCAGAGCACTTGGGGTGAAAAGGTGGCTAAGACGTTTTGAATCAAAAGAGAAAAATAAAATCACATTCACAGATGCAGAATGAGGCAGAAGG